ATTGCAACAAAAAAAAGCCACCAGCATACTGGGCTATATTAATGGGAGTGTCACTTGCAAATCAAAGGAAGTGATTCTTCCACTCTGTTCAGCACTGGTGGGGCCTCACCTGGAGTACTGTCCAGTTTTGGGCCCTGCACTTCAAGAAAGATGTGGACAGAGTGAAAAGAGTCCAGCACAGAACAACAAAAATTATCCTCTGATCGCCCTATTAAAAAAATTCCCACAGTAGCAACCATGCAATTGAGATGTATTTTACTATCTTTATGCTGATATACAAAGGGGGAAAGATATTGTACAGGCTTCTATCTTGATGGAATGAGAGGTGGTTGGGAAGACGAATGGAAACTGAAAACTAGATGTGATACTAATAGACAAGCTGCATAAACACAAGCCTTAATATTAGTTATATTTAAAGCCTTAAAAACATAAGCCTAACAACACAATCTTAACTGGCAGAGCTTAGCAAAATGGCTGTTTCCTAACAGTGACCTAATAGCATCAACCTTTCCCTATATCTTGGGATTTTTAATTGGCTTTAACTTCAATTGTTCCTTTTATCTGGCTTCTCTGACATGGGCGCATTTACACATGCAATTAAGGCAAGTAGGGCAGTTATGGTGAAGGGCACAGTTGAGCTGGGGTGGAGCGGCCCCAGGCTGGCAGGGGGTCTGGAGGTTCAGCCCCAGGCTCTGTGTGGCAGCATCAAGTGGTGGAAAATGCTGGTTGAGGCATGAGGGTGCTACAGTGCAGGGCTAGCTGGCAGGCAGCCCCCGCACTATAACACCCTCATGCCCCAGCCAGCCCTGGTCACTGTCTACACCAGATGTAGGCAATGTTTTTTGGCCACAGTGGGTGCTGGAGTGCCGATATGCTGGAGCCCGGAGCAGCTGTTTGCAGCCTCCCAGCTACAGCCAACCCACAGAGCCTGGTCTGCTTGCAGAAGGGCTTGTAGCCTCCCAGCCGCCTGCTGGGAGCAGCCTGGGCTCCGTGGCTGGCAGCAGCTGCTTAGAGACCGGGCTGGTGGTGGCCTGCTGAGCAAAATGGCCTTGAGTGCCATACTTGGCACACATGCCAGGTGTTGCTGACCCCTGGTCTACATGTGTTGTGGTGGTGTAAATTACTCTGCTGTAGGATAATACTTGTCCCAGACAGTACTATCCTACTGCAGAGCTAATTAACTTACTGCACCCTAATATGGGTGCACATGACACCTTACTGCAGAGTTAATTAGTCAGTTATGCAGTAAAGCACACATGTAGATGCACCCAGTATGGCTAAACTGTAGTTGGGGTAAACATACCTGGGCTTATAATCAGCAACTAGCCACCTCAGCTACTCATAATGCTATAGCTATCAGCATCATACAATTGAGCATGGGTTACAAAAACAGTGTGGGATACTGGGTAAATACCTGATGGTTAGCTTTGATTGAAATTCATGAGAGTGAGGCTACACAATTGTATCAGTTCCCAAACCTGGTATGAATATGTCTACAGGAACTGCAGTCACACCTTTGGACAGCAGTGTAAATATACCTTGGGTTAGTGGAATAGACAAGGAAGGCACAGTAGCAGGAAAAGGCAAGGTCTAGGTTAGTGAAGAAATAAAAGATAAGGTAGAGAGCACTGTCTAGAGTATAGTGATACAGTTGCTGAAAGAGGGCTGCTAAAAGGAGAGAGAAAAAAGGAAAAGTACAGAAGTGGGCAAACAAACGGTAGAATAGAGCAGGGCTCATGGAAGGCAGATGGGGAGAAATGAAAATTGAGTGGCATTGAGTGACTGCTCCATCCATTTAATTGAAGTGTTAATCCAGATGCTCAGTGATGATGACCTTGGGACTATCTTCACTATACAGTTAACCAGAGGTCTTATCCGGTTTCAGTCCAGCCCATCCCACCATATCCACACAGAAATTCCCCTGACCCAGGTCTGGAGGTATTTTAAGCCCAAACAGACTGACCTAATAGAGGTGTGAGTTAGAGACTGAGCTCTACTTTAAGTCAGCCTGGAACAGGTCCACTTTGTCCTAGAAGACTAAGTTACTCAGGTGCTGATGGCCATCACAACCCCCTTCCCACAGCTCCCCCAGAGGACTCAAGTTTTCCCACAATTCACCATGATCAAGTCCAAGAATGTCCCAGCACAAAGCACCTGTGGTTTGCCAGGAGAAACATGGACAAGCAAGGACACACTAACGCAGGCAGAGCTTAGAATTTGTTGCACTTGGGCTGGGCTAGCTCAGGTATTTCCAGTCCAGGGTACCTGCGCGGTGATATCTTTAGTATCAACATTAAAAAAAGGAAAGGAAGAGTTCATATTTCTACATGGTTCATTGTGAATGTCATTTCATTCAGGTGCCTAAAGTGGGTGACATTTTGGAGATACTAATTATTTTTTCCAATAAATTAGGAGTTAAGCTGTAGAAACCTGGAAATACTTCCAGACCTATTTAAACAGGGTACAAGAAGTCAAGTTGAACCTCAGCCCTATAAGCCAGGTGTACGCTAGACTTCTGCCATCATAGACACGTGGGTCAGGGATGTGAAAACGTGTGATTCATAATACCTAGAAAGTGGCCAGTGTAGACACAGTTATATCAGGAAACAGAAGGTTTCATAGTAATGCTTGTTTTGCTCATGCCAGCATAGCTTTGTGAACAGATACCAGAAAAATGTTCCTATTGCAGACTTAACTTTACATCTATACCATTTGAACACCTGTATCATCTATTGTGAGAAGTGTTCATTCTGACAGCACACAAGCAAAGCATATTTTGGGGAGAAGCTTGAAAAAGACGAATACTTTTTCTCAGTTCAGTTCCTGAATAGAACATGTCTTTGCATGACCACTCTGTGGCCAAAATAAATCCCATTGTCCAAATTTCCCCCAATATTTAACCCATTTCCCCTTTTTATCTCCCTATTACACCTATTAACCATGTGAAAGAAAGAAAAAATACAAAATAAGGAACACAGGAAAGAGACCGGGAAAGAAGGAAAAGAGGAAACAGGAACCGAGGTACACTAAAAGAGGAGAAAACTAAGCAAGCTGAGAAACTTCACCTGGTTACAAAAGCATACAAAGATTAAAGAGATGCCTTGAGAATGAGTGACAAGAACAAGATTTAGTGTTTATATTATAATAAATTTGGGTGGCACTTTACAGAGATAGTAAAAACATGGCCCCTTTCCCCGAAGAGAGCTCTTAAGAGCCTTCCTAGTGCAGAAAACAAATCTGAAACCAATGAATCACAAAGTGTTCTTTGTAACATGTTTAGTGTGATCTTCATTGTGACCAAGGCAACTTCCAAATGCAGAGAAAAGCTGTGAAGAGAGACAAGGGGGGAGGGATGGCTGCAGGGGAAGAGAGCAGGACTGAGGAAAGCAGGGAAGAAGTCTGTTAACTGAAGTCAATAGCTCCTTGCTGGACTTTGGTCCAAAAAACCCTTGCCACTGTTCTTCATCGCTGACTTTGAAGCCCTCTGATAAATTCGGTCAGTGGCTGTAGGGACCCAGTTTTAACTCTGCCTCTTGTTGAAAGCTAAGAGCTGGCATTTTCCAAGGGATGCCCTGAGTCTGAGGAGAGAGGTGTGCCTGGGGACTAAAGAGGCTGAGAACCACTGGCCTATCTGAAGGGGCACGGCTGTGTGGGCACGGAGGGGCAATAGCCATGTGGCACCGAGGAGCAGGGGTCAGTGGGCACATTTCCTTCAGGTGGGCGTGCACTACCAGGGCAAGTCACACCACTGGCACGTCCCCTCAAGGCAGCCACCCGCGCGTGCAGCAGGGGCTCCCAGCCCCAGGCTGCGTCTGAGCGGGGTGGCAGCGCCCGGGGTGCAAGCGGGGAGCAGGGGAAGGGCCCGGGGTCCAGCTGGGCGGGGGCTGGGGACACCGCTGGGGCCCGCTCAGCGCCGCGGACGAGCTGGATGCCGCCAGCAGCCCGAGCCCGAGCCCGCTCGAGGGGGGGGCGAGGACCGGGAGGGCGGCTCCGCCGG